GTGGGGGACACAGCCTGCGGGAGCGTGGGGGACACAGCCTGGGAGAGGGTGGGGGACACAGCCTGGGGGAGGGAGGGGGACACAGCCTGCGGGAATGTGGGGGACACAGCCTGCGGGAGCGTGGGGAACACAGCCTGCGGGAATGTGGGGGACACAGCCTGCGGGAGGGTGGGGGACACAGCCTGCGGGAATGTGGGGGACACAGCCTGCGGGAGGGTGAGGGACACAGCCTGGGGGAGGGTGGGGACACTGTTCTGCGAGGCGCTGTGCGCACGGGGGCCAGCTGCATGCGTCACAGCTGGCAGCACAGCTAAAGTGCACAAATCCCGCCTCGAGCAGGACTGTGGGAGCCACCAATGGTAGCAGCAGTTGTGGAAGGGTGAAGGACGATGGCTGTCATTGCCAAGAGATGGTGTGGGTCACTTTCAGAGCAGGGTGACACCTGTTACTGCTGACCATGACATCTTGCCAGGTGCTTTCTGGGCACCTGAAAGAACCACACTTCCTGCCCACTGGGGAGGGGTGGCTGTGGCTCTCACTTTGCCAGTGAAGCGGGAGCAGAGCAGGCCGTGCACTTCCGGAAGGACGGCACTGAGGTGGGCCTGACCATGCTGCCGTCTTTTTGTGCCTCTGGAGGCTTCTGCATGGCGGCTGCTCTGTTCCAGCCAGGCCACGACAGACCCCAAGGCATGAGTGGGACATCAGCTTAGGGTGTTAAGGCTGAGGTTGGGGCGTATTTCCTCCCCTGCTGGCAGATGCAGGTGGGCCATCCTTATCCTTATTCTACAGAAAGACCCGGGCCAGGAGTGGCTTGACCCAGGCTAAAAGGAGGCCTGACTCTGCACCACGCAGTCGGGCTCCAGAGCCTGCATGCAAACCCCAATACCACAACACCTCTCTGGTGAAATCAGTGGCCCTCAAGACCCGGGGCTATCGGGTACCTTCCCCTCTGATATGGAGTTGATGTGCCCTGAATTCTCCTTTGAGAATAGTTGTCTAGAACCTTGTCTTAATGTCTAAATGTACCAGCAAACCTACTTCTAGTTAGGAACAGAGCTGCAAGAGCCCAAGGGTGGCCTTACTCAGCATGAGAGCATCTGTGATGGCCCTGATTCATGGCACCCGCTGAGCAGCCAGGGGGCTGGAGGTACCGGGCACACGGCAGGTGCCCACCGACATTCTACAGGATGCACGAGTGACTCAGCCAATGAGTGAGGTCATGCGGCTTAGCAAGGACCACCCCAGTGCCCAGGAGAATGCGCTCAATAGATACTTGCTGAGTAAATAAGTAAACAAGTAGATGGATGGATGGAGGGATGGATGGAGGGATGGATGGATGGAGGGATGGGTCAGCAGATAGATGGATAGATGCACAGATGGATGGATGAGCAGGTGGGTGGATGTGGAGCCTGGAACAAAAGCCTCCCCTCTGCCCTCCCTCTAAAAGTGAGAACAAGAACCAGATAATCTCCGAGAGCCCCTGCAGCTTCCTGGGTGGTAACCTGGGTCTCAGGATGGTTTTCTGCCCTTGGTCCTTGCCATGGCTGGCAGCCTGCCCACTTCTTCCCCTCTGCACTGTTGCAAACCTGTATTCTCTGGCTTCTGTGACAGCCTCTCAGGCCTTTTGATTGCTCGCTTCAACATAGAACATTTCTGAGCTTGTGTGGCCAATATACTTAGCTCACAGTGTGGCGCTAACTCTAGCATAAATATAGGCTGTGCCTTCTAAAATACACGTGAATACGAGGATTAAGAGCGATGCTGTGAAATCTAAATGTGAAGCAGAATTCTGGTATTTTCTTTAAAGGACCAGGTTGCAGAGCCTCTTTGGAGTCCACACGTCTAGTTAAATGGCTTATCTGACACACTAAGCCTGGCCAAGCTCCACTGCACCCAGGAAATGCAACTGCCTCTGAGAAGGAAGTGTGGAGGAGGTCTTATTTCCAAAAGGAATGAAGTCTCCAGCTCAAGGCTGGGGCCGCACCGTAACCATCGGCCTCGTCCCTCTCCTTAGCATCTGCCCGTCCTTGGTGAGGAAGAACTGAACAGCAGGTGTCTGGGCAGTGGCAGGCAATGCCTGCCCAGGTCAACGTTACTTTCTTTGTGTTATGGAAGAAGACCGAGTTAAGAAGGTGACCTGACCTCCCCAACTCGAAGCTGAGTTTTTCAGGTTTTGCTCCCAGATTCAGAGCTAAGGGACAGACGAGGCCAGGTCTCACACAGCTCTGTCAAGGACGCCACCAGAGCTGGTAGAGTGATCCATTAAGTGGGCTGAGCTCGGGACCCCAGCGGGGGCAGGGGTCCCCAGGGAGTGGCTGTGGGCCCCTCCCCTGCCCCAGCACTGAGTGCGCCTTAGGTGTACCTGGTTCTTGTTGAACTCCTTCACAGCTGCACAGACAGCCTTCCTGGTGGTGCTTTCCAGCTTCTGTAGGTCTCTGGCTGTCTCATCAAACTTCAGCCTGGTCTGCGTGTGGCAGTCCTCTGTAAGGACAAGCCCAAGTCAGAGGGAGCGTGCACAGCTGCGCACCTTCCCGGGTGTGCGGAACACTTACAGCAATGGTGTTTCTATGTTCTCTTGTCACGTCCTCATTTGCAGGGAGGACAAGGAGACTAATTATGAGGACCTTCCTTCAAAGACAGTGGGAGAGTCAAAGGATTTAATTAAAGCACAGATCTCAGACGGTAGCAGTCAGGGAAAACAGGATCATTTCTATGGATTGGAAACATCTATGATGAATTGGTGATGTCTGTGATGGATTGCTGATGTCTGCTGTGGTCCTGCATGGGTCAGTGCTCTGCCCCCTGCCATCCCAGCTCTAATCAGGAGGTGGCTACATCCTAACAGAAGGCAAAGGGTGGTGGGACACAGGAAAAGGGGTTGTAGAGACCAGACAGGACCCAAAGAGGAAAGAGTACCCGATCACAGATGTCTGTGGAGTAGCAGGAGTTGGCCAGACCGAGATGTAATGAGGAGGAAGAGGAAGAAGAGGAAAGGGAGCCAAATAGCAGCCAGCTGTCATCCACCATCGTTACTGAACCTCTTGGGGACCCTACAGCCTTGCCTATAAGGGAGGGAGACACCTACGTCATCCTAGGTCATTGTAGTTTTTAAAAAGTCATTGATTGGTCATTTCTGATTTTTGTACTTGTGCTTGCAGTTTTATTACTTCCAAAAACAAGCACCAGATTCTTAGCCTTGAATTTCTGGCCCCTACTCCCCTTTACCTCCTCTGACGCTTCTTTGTCTATTCCTCTACTGAGCAGATAGTGACCAAGGGCCTTGCATGAACCACCCACTGTGCTGGGGTCAGGGACACAGTGTGGGCAAAGCCAGAAGGGGTTTTCCTGCCTTCCTGGAACAATCCACATGTGAGCCCCCAAATATCCATACTGAACAAAATGGGGCAGCCTGCAGAGGGAAAGAAGGAGGCTAAGGTGAGGCGCTGGGAATACTGCTGCTGTCCCAGCCCGCTCAGGACGTTCAGAGGGCAGGGTGGATGTGATTAATCTGACACACTAACCCTGGCCAAGCTCCACTGCACCAGGAAATGCACTTGCCCCAGTAGGACGTTCAGAGGGAGGGTGGACTCTGTGGTGGACAGGAAGTGGAGCAGCCCAAAGGGCTGGAACAGCTAAGGGGGTGGGTGGCAAAAGTCAATAAGGAGCAGTGGGCAGAGGCCCGGCGGGCAGAGCTTTGGAACCGCGTGCGCTTTCCATTTTATTCCACATGCCGTGGAAGCCGCTACAGGGCTCTGAGCTAGGATGGAGGAAGTCAAGCCACTGTTCAGCCTGGCAGTGTTAAGCAGAATCCCCAGGAAGGGGAAGGAAAGGATGTGGAAGATGAGGAGAAAGCTATCAGCAGGGGTCTGTCTGGGTGAGAAAGGCGGTGGCTATATCTCAAGGTGACAGGATGGATTCGGAGAAGCACACATCAAAACATGCAAGGGTAGGGGCCAGGGAGATAGCGCAGTGGAACAAGCGCTTGCCTGGCAAGCGTAGGGGCCTGAGTTCAATCACCAGTTCCGCTGAGAACAAAACATGCAAGGGTAAAAGCGACAGGAGACGAAGATACAGGAGATCAAGGGACCACAGGCTTCTGGGGGGTAGGGCTCGTGGAGCCATTAGTGAGAAGAGGGGGACAGAGGGAGGGCAGGCCCAGAGGAGGAGCTCTGCTTAGTTTCTACTTGTCACCTTGCTGTGAAAGGTGGGGAGACCTCAAGGAGGCCACACAAGTCCAGGACTGTGCCTGAGATGAAGGCTCCTGGCTGAGAAGGGTTTGGAGCAACCTGGGGACAGGTGAGCAGGGGCTGCTCCAGCAGACACTGACCTGCATGCAAAGAGCTAAGCTTCCTGCAGGGAACGAGGAAACAGGAATCCTTTGCCCTCACTGAGCTTTGTTGGCTATGATATGGGGCAAATATAGGAATCACGCAGTACTTCAGGGAGAAGCTGGCAGAGAGCTCACCAGGAGTTCGAAGTCAGCCTGCGCTACCTGGTGAGTCCCAGAGCAGCCCAAACTACAGCACAGGACTTCATCTCAGCAGACAAATAAGCAAAAGGCAATGGAGAAAAATAAAGCAAAGAAATGGATTTGAAATCGATGGGTCAGAGAGATCTCACCAGCGAGGTGAGATTTCAGCCTCCCTGGCTAGGAGGAAAGAACCAGGTAGACATCTGGGGAAGATGTCCCTAAGCACAGGGAGCAGCAGGTATAAGGGCCTTTGGACCAAGGGAGAGGATGGGGCCGTGGGCAGTGGGCCACATTGTGGGGGCCATGCTGTGAAGGCCTTGTGGAGCCTTAAAGTGAACTTGTGCGTGAAGCAGAAGTGACAGCAGAGCTTCAAGCAAATGCTCCAACTTCACTTTCACAGGACTGCTCCGAGGCTGCCTTGAGGGAAGACTGCAGGGGACAAGGGCAGAGGCAGAGATCATCGAGGGATTGTCGCACGGTGCCTAGTGGAGAGGCACTGATAGCTCAGTCCTGAGTGGCGATGGTGGAGACGACAGGACTAGCTGAAGTGTATGACTTTGATGTGTGGAGGAGACACTCGGGGTGGAGCAGTGAGATGGACTTATGAATCTGGATTTGAGGAGCACTCCTGCCCGGACCTCCAAGGCTGGGAAATGAGCCTGTTCTTGCGGTGATGGACGAGACTGCCTGGGGAATGGGTAGAGCCCACAGAGGGCAGCTACAAAGAGCACGGGTGTGACCAACACCCAGAGGCTCAGAAGACAAGAGCTGGGCAGGGCAAGCACCGTGTGGAGTCCGGAGACCTCTTGACTATTTCATAGTGCCCTCTGCCCAGGTGAAGACTAAAGCCCAAGCTTAGCAGGGGTGACATGGGAGGTCGGCCAGGGCAGCCCCAGGGGAAGGGGGAGGGCAGAAGTCTGGTGGAAGTGGCCTCAAAAGAACAGGTGACCCAGGAAGACACCATGCATGGAGAGCAGAGCAGAAAGAGGAGGCTGGAACATGAGGAGCTGAACAAGGAGACTGCAATTAACAACCAGAGAAGAGGGCGTGGGAGGGCAGGGGTGCTGCTCCCCACCCCGGGGCCCTCCAAGCAGCTTGCTGACCTTCCCCACGAGAGCAGGGATGCGGACGTGTTCCCAGCACAGGAGGTGGCCAGGAGGACAAGGTGCCCCTTCGAGGGCCTACAGGAGGGGTGGCTGGTGGGGCAGGCTCCTGGTACCGCAGTGACAGCAGGACTTAGCAGGCTGCTTCTTGCCTCAGAGCCTTGGCCTGAGAGGTGCTCCGGGTCTGGGGAGTCCTGGGGATGTCCTGGGACTTCCTATCCCAGCACCCAGGGGCCTGGGGTAGGGGAAAACCTGTTTCTGTTCATCTTCCTGACAGCGTGGAGACAGAATGAGGGCAGAGACCAATTCCAAGTGAACTGAGCCGTAGCATTCCATACGCCCAGAAAGGCTCCTGTGCTCCTAATGCAGGAGTGCAGCCGCCTGGCTCCTGCAGCCCAGCCTCTGACTTCTCTTTCCCCACGTGCCAAGGCAGGAATACCTGGCTGTGTGTATCAGAACTGACAAAAACACCCATAAAAACCGAGCACAGTGGTGTAAGCTTATGCTCAGACTTTGGGAAGCTGATGCAAGAGGATTGCAACTTTGAACCCAGCCTGGGCATTTTAGGCTTAGTAAGACTGTCTCAAATAAAAAATACGAAGGGGTTGGGGATGCAGCTGAGTGTGAAGGGCCCTGGGTTCAATTAAGTGCCACAAAAAACAAAATGAAAGAAACCCTGTAACTGGGGAGCTGACTCATCAGAGAGACCATTAAGGTCAGTTCGTCTCTTCTCTCTCATCACCTGCAAAGTTTTGGTCAGCACGGGCCTTCTCCCACTCCCTGTGCTGTTGGAGGGACCATTCTCTCATCTGCTCTTCCTGGAATTTCTTCCTCTCCCAGAAGTTTAAGTCTTCACCCATAAACTTCTGCATCCCTGATACTGTGTTCCGGAAGTCACTGTCCGACTGCCGGGCTGGAAGCTCCTTCCTAAGGGCTAGCGGGTCAGACAGATCGAATTCTCGGCGAGTTTCTGGCTTCTGACAGTTCTGCTGGAAGTCGTTAATAGCTCTGCAGAGACACTTCTTATCTCTCTTCTCTCGGTTTTCTAATATGCACCTGATTTTGTCATTTTGCCTCAATTCGGCAGCTAGAAAAGACATAGTACACACATAAGCTTAAGAGGAAAACACTGTAAATACTTCGAATGAAAATAATTTCAAAGATTATTAAAGTATTATAATCCTTTAAAAAAGTAACATAACCATGAAAGGATTACTATCCTGAATATTCAAAGAACATATCCAGTTTTAAAATCATTCACAACCTAACCAAAACATGGGCAAAAACTTGGGCCAGGTAAACTGAGTACCAGGTAAACAAATGTGGGCACTAAATAACCTTGTGAAAGAATGATTAATCTGGGGCCGGGGAGATGGCTCAGTGGAATAAGCGCTTCCCTGGCAAGCGCAAGGGCCTGAGTTCAATCCCCAGTTCTACCAAAGGAAAAAAAAAAGAATGATTAATCTTGCAAGATGGGAAATGTCCATGAACTGAAGACAAACTACTTCAAATGCTAACAATAGGAACTATTAGTGAGCGCATGGGGAACAGGATCTCTCACTCACTGTTATTTGAGACATAAAAGAGGGCAAATTAATTCTCTTTTAAATTCTGATATCAGACCTGCAGCACCATTATTTGGGTCATGCCAAGTCAGTCACACACCACCTCAGAAGTGGAGTGTGTGTGTGTGTCACTTGGGGGAAGCAGGGCCAAGATTGCCTCTGTGTGTGTGTGTGTGTATGTGTGTGTGTGTGTACCTAAGGCTTTTCCAGTTTTTAAAGAAAATGGAGGGAGCCAGGTGTGGTGGCGCGTGCTTGTAATCCCAGCACTTGAGGCTGAGGCAGGGGGATCCTTGGCAATTGGAGACCAGCCTGAACTACAATAGTGAGCTCAGGCCAGCGGGAACTGCATAGAGACGTGTCTCCAGATGAAAGAAAGAAAGAAAGAAAGAAAGAAAGAAAGAAAGAAAGAAAGAAAGAAAGAAAGAAAGAGAAAATTATAAAGAAAACAGAGAGAAATGTAATTTAACCTTAAATATATCTCCTATGATCTATATTAGAATTTAATCACTGTTTTTAAGTGAGGAAGAGTTTGATCATTAAGTTAAGAACAAAAAATTAACAAATTTTAAAAGAAAGAAAAGCATGAAAATGACTTCCTTTCCTTCCCTGGCCTCTTCCCAGCCCTCCCTTCTTTGCCGTTCTTCTTTTTCATCCCTCTCTCCCTCTCTCCTTCCTTCCTGAAGTGCTAGAGACTGAACCCAGAGCCTTCTGCGTGGTATGTGGGTATTTTATCACTCTGCTACATCCTCGCCCAACAACTTTTTATATTTTTTTATGTACCGTCAAGAAATGAGGACCACAACCTAAAGACACTCAGCCTGAACCCACAGGAGGGTGTTCCGGGAAATCCTCACCGAAGGTTTCGTGCCTAGCTTTTTCCGTTGCTTCTTTTATCCTCTGGTCACGAACCTGAACGTCCCAGACTTGTGTGTCTCCCTGAGAATGGGAAATTGGGGAAGAGCGGTCGGAGCCAGCGCACGTTATCGAGGCGCTCACAATCCTCCTCATTTGTTAGTCTTGCCCTCCTGTTAACGAGCTGCGCCCACCGCCTTTTCATGCCGCCTCCTCCGCTGGGCCACCACCTCTGCATGCTCAGGGATACCTGACCCCCGATCCTCTGGACCTGGCTCGGACTTGCCACCAAACTTAAAAACTCCACGGGCATTCGTTAAGTGAACTGGCTGGAAAGAACCAGCCCGGGCACTGCAGTAAACCTGCTCCGAGACTGAGCACCGTGTTCTGCCTACGTCCCGTTCCTCTTCCCCCTCCAGGCACGGTCCCCCCGGCCGCACCCCTATGCGCGACCTGGCAGGGGTCAGGCTGCTCGACCGGACTAGTTCAGGCTCTCTTACCTCCACCAAAGCCAGTCCTTAGAGCTATTTCTCCGTGCGCCCCAGCAAAACCCGGTGCCCTACAACCCTCCCTGAATCAGGAGTTTCGTCCCAGACTTGGTGCTCGGGTCTCTTCCCGCAGCACTCCCACGCCCTTCCCCTCCAGCTGCCGGCCTCACCCCGAGGATCCTGTTCCTGGCATTGAAGACCCGCTGTTGCCGGCACAGTTCCGCATGTGACCTCTTGGCCAGCTCGGAGTCCTGCTTCAGGTCCTTGGGCAGAGCCACCTTCATGGCCCTGGAAAGCGACCCCAAGTACGAAGGGGTTCTCACAAAAAGCAAGGTAAGAAGGAAAACCCAAGCAACAAAGCAAGCCGCAGCCTGGTCGAGGTTGATGCCTGGGACGTCACGGACTGGCTGAAACTCGCTCCCTGGGTAACGCCAGCGCTGGTTGCTAAGGAACGGCGTACGGTCGCGGCCGCCCTGATCTCGCGAGATTTGGCCGAGACTTGGCGCGCGCCTCCCGCGCTTTTCCAGCCAGCTCGTGAAAACACGAGCGAGGCGCGCGAGCGCAACCATGGGGCACCTGGAGCTGCTAATCGTGGAGAACTTCAAATCTTGGCGGGGCCGCCAGGTCATCGGGCCCTTCAAGAGGTTTACGTGCATCATTGGCCCCAACGGCTCCGGTAACGGGCGCCGCGGCGGGGCTCAAGGCGGGCTACACCCGCCTGAGGGGTGTGTTGCCACGAGGCTGGCGACCCGGGCTGGGGCTTTTTCCGCGGCCCTTGGCTTCAGAGCCGAAACCCACCCCTCTCCCTCCTCTCCTTGTTTCTCCTCTGGAGATCCTCCCTCCTCCCCGTGCCTCTTGGGGACCCACATCCTCCTCTCGCCACCTCAGGGTCCCTCACCTTCCTCCTGCTCCGGTGACCCTCCTGCCTCTCCTCCTGCTTGGTGACCTTCTTGCCCCTTCTCCCTCCTCCCGCTGTGGAGACCGTCCTCCCTCCTGCGCTGGTGAACCCCCACCCGCCTCCTCCTCCCGCTCTGGTGGCCCCTCCTCCAGCTCCCGTGACTCCATCCCCCTCCTCCCACTTGGAGCCCCCACCTCTCTTCCCGCTGTGGAGACCCCCTCCTCCTGCTCCGGTGACCCTCCTGCCTCTCCTCCTGCTTGGTGACCTTCTTGCCCCTTCTCCCTCCTCCCGCTGTGGAGACCGTCCTCCCTCCTGCGCTGGTGAACCCCCACCCGTCTCCTCCTCCCGCTCTGGTGGCCCCTCCTCCAGCTCCCGTGACTCCATCCCCCTCCTCCCGCTCTGGAGCCCCCACCTCTCTTCCCGCTGTGGAGACCCCCTCCTCCCTCCTATTTTAGCGACCCCCCTCCTCCTCGGATGGCCCCTCCTCCAGCTCCCATGACTCCATCTCCTTCCTCCCGCTCTGGAGACCCCCCGCCTCTCCTCTTGCTCCAGTGACCTCTTCCCCCATCTTCCGGCTCTGGTGACCCCCTCCTCCCTCCTGCTCTGGTTACCTCACCCCCCCTCCTCCCGCTTGGTGGCCCTTCCTTCAGCTCCCATGACTCCATCCTCTTCCTCCCCCCACCTCTCCTCTAGCTCTGGTGAACCCCTCTCTTTTCCTCTTGCTCCAGTGACCCTTCACCCCTTCTCCTCGGGGACCCACATCACCCTTCCCAGCCCTCTTTCTCTTGGCCACCACCTGGGAGACCTCTTTCTCCGGCCCACCTTGGCCCTTCCCTGCCCCTCCATTTCGGGGTCCTCGCCCTCACCACTACCTCCGTCCGGGGCCTCTTCTCTGCCCTGGCTCCTCCTGCTCTTGGACGCGCGACCCCACCCTTGGTACGCTGCGCATACACTGTAAAGGCAAGGGGGCACCGGAGCAGGCTGCCAGCTCCAGGGAGCTTGAGCAACCACAGGACCCCAGGAACCGCCAACCCAGTAGTACAGTGATGACGACCCGGTGATGGACCTTCGCGAGTGCCTGGGCACCACCAATTGTCTAACAAACATTTAATTCCATGTAGTTGACACAGAGGTCAGGAGAGGCCTGGTGACCTGCCAGTTGGCCAGTGACTTGACAGAGCCTGGACTCCCTGCCTGGCCCTCAGCAGTACAGTCACCTGAGAGGTTCCCAACATGTGCCCTATAGGCTCTTTCAGCTTAGATTTCTTTTTTTAGACATGAGTGAAAATTAACTGTTGCCTCAATAAGTTACCGACCAGCACGTGAATTTTTATGTGCTTTCCTGGAGCACAAAGTCTAACATATAGTTATTGTGAAATGTGTGTGGAATTTCTGTTGCCTTATAGAAGTAATTACTGTTCAGTGTTTCCATTGCACTAGTACGTAGGAGGGATACCTGAGCTTCGATGTGTGCATGTGCGCATGTGCGCGAAGGTTTCTTTACGTTTTCTGCAAAATGTGTTCCTCCTCCACTTAATTCTGTTACGAAGAAACACTGAAAAGATAATTATGATAAAAACCTTGCATGCTTACTCTGACTTTCCCAAGAGATCACTGGTCCATTACCAGCAAATGTTCACCTTCTAGTGGATTAGGTGAAAGTTGCCTAGTTATATTCTGTGAGTCTAATTTTGATGCTTACAATGAGTAGCTGCACACAGTCCTGAACTTCAGTCTGCCTAAGCTGCCTAATGCTATTATCATTAAAATTTTACCAAAGTGGTGTTTGGAGCATTTTAAAACTGGTGTCAAACAAGTTTTTAAAAGTTCATTTCTTAACTTACAAGCCATTAATATTTACAAGCCAGGCATGGTGCTGTACACCTACTGTAATCCCCCCAGTCCCGGCTGAGGTAGGGCAATTAAGGAGAGTTTGAGGCCAACATAGGCCAGATGGGGAGCTCAAGGCAAGCCTGCAATCTAAAGCAAGACCCTTCTCAAAAAAAAAAAAAAAAACCACAATTGTATTAAAAGCCAAAAACATGGGCTGGGGAGATGGCTCAGTGGAATAAGCGCTTCCCTGGCAAGCACAAGGGCTTGAGTTCAATCCCCGGTTCCCCTAAAAAATAAATAAATAAATAAAAAGCCAAAAACAACAGTGGTAGAACACTTGCCTGGCATGTACAATGTCCATTATGAAAAAGAACATTTTGATTAAAAACATTATTTTAGATTTATTGTACGAAGCTCTTCACAAATTCTGACTCTACCTGGACCTAAATGCCCTGGAAGGCCTCTTTTGAGACTGCTGGGAACTACATAAAACAAGTCATGTATTACCTTAGCTTTGACTTCTGTACAGTTTATCCACAGCAAAATTGTAGAATGTGTTTTTGTTTTGTTTTTAGTTTTTTGAGACATGGTCTCACTAATGGTTCAGACTGACCTCACACTCCTAAGTGCTGGCATTACAGGCATATGCTATCACATATACTTAGGGATTTAGTCTAGACTGTTCCCATTCTTACTATATAACGTCTAAAAATCAATATGGTACTTGCCGTAATTTAATCTCAGAATTACTGGTACATTTAAACACATTTTGCTCAGATAAAATTCAGATTAACTTGTTAACCAACTTTTTTTTCCCCCTGTACTGGGGATCGAACTCAGGACCTGGTGCCTGCCAGGCAGTTGCTTATGCCACTGAGCTATCTCCCTGGCCCCAATCAGCTTTAATACTTAATATTGGTGGTTGTTGTTTTCTTTTTCTTTTTTCCTTCTTTTTTTTTTTTTTTTTTAGACACTGTTTGGCTTATGTGGTTCAGGCTGGCCTTGGACTCACGATGTAGCCCATGCTAGCCTTGGGCTTGCAGAATCCTGCCTCAGCCTTCTGAATGCTGGGATTACAGGCATGTACCACCACAACCAGTTTGGTCATTCATTTAAAAAAAAAAAATTATCACCTGCCCAGACTTGACTTTTTTTTTTGTTGTTGTTGTTATCACCTTCCCACATTCCCATGTATTTGTTTTTGGTAAATACAATTTTTTATTTTTTTTTTTGTGGATAGAGGAAAAGTTTTTGTTTTAATCTTAACTTTCTTTTTTTTTTCTTTTTGGGGAACCAGGGATTGAATTCAGATCCTTGCGCTTGCCAGGGAAGCACTTACTCTACTGAGCCATCTCCCTGGCCCCTTAATCTTAACTTTCGTGTTTTCCATTCGGTTAGATTCAACAAATTGTGTGCGTGTGTGTGCGTGTGTGTGCGTGCGTGTGTGCGCGTGTGTGCGCGTGTGTGGGTGTGTGTGTGTGTATAAGGAGCAGAAAGAGATATAGAGTAAGGCACTTTCAGTTTCTGATGTACGAGGAGTGTAAGAAAATAACATACTAATTGAAACAACCAAATTATAAGTTTATAAAACTTTAAACAAGGAAAGAAAACATGAGGTTTGAAGAGAGATAGGTATGGACAGGAGGACATGTATCAAGAAAGATTTTTGAGAGGAGATGAGGGTTGGAGCTGGGACCAAAGAATAAAGAGTTTTCCAAGGGATTTGTTAAGCTTGTTTGTGGGACGATTAATAGGCTTGGCCAGAATGTTATGCATATTTGAGGAAGCAATGAGATACAAGGCTGAGGTGCTATTGCATAAGCACTTAACAGAGTGAGGAGTTGGAATTTAACTTTGTGAGAACAAAAATGTTAAACTGTGAGATGTTAGTGGGAAATACCAGTGTGCTTGAGTCTCAGAGAATCATTTCCACTTGTGCTGTAGTCCTGTCCTCTCTTCAAGTCTTTGTTGTTATAAATCATTTTCTCCTTCATTGGGTAATTTTCATTGACATAAGTAAATGCTGTTAATACTAATCTTTTTAAAAAACCTTATGGCTGCCTTATAGAAAGCAAGTAGTTCAATATTGTCAAAAAGTAATAATAAACATATGGTGTTTATTAGAATTTTTCCAACGTTTCTGTTTACAGTTTGAACATGTTATAGTATGTGCAGGGAAAAGTCCCTTAAACCTTGTTTTTGTCCTCTGACTATTGTCCTATACCTTCTGTTAGTACAGCTAAGCTCTTTGAAGTGGTTGACTATAGTCTTTATCTCCTCTGCCTCCTGACTTAGTTCTTAGGTCAAAACTGCGCTGAAAAGATAGTTTCATCTTCTAAAAGGTCAGTGGTCAGTTTTGGGTCTTCATCCTGGTTGATCTCTTAGTAATGTTTCATTCACTAAAAATAGAGTGCGACACACTATTGTAGGCTGTTTTACAGGTAGAGCAGGTAAATTCCACTGAGTTTTTTTATTAGAGTTTATGTTGAATGGCAAAGAGACAGCAAACTATTAAAAACATAAAGAATGTTAGGAAAGACTGGGCGTGGGGCTGGTGAGATGGCTCAGTGGTCTAAGGCACCTACTTAAAAAAACAAGCTTAGCAAAGCACAGGGACCGCGGTTCAATCTCCCAGC